TATAGCTGAACAAAACTTTTTGCTTTGACTGCCAGTTATTTAGTAACGGCCTAAACCGTGTACTAACATATAATGAACAGGATGTGATGTAACACAGGGTTATAGTTCTAAAAGAAAGGGTTTGCCATGGAAACTGGAAAGGGAAAAAGATGCAGTGGACTAATCGTCGCGCAGTTCTGCTATTTTTGATCAATGTTGGACCCGCTTTGGGCATGAATTTTAGGCTGAGTACCTGCTTGCATTGAATCTCGGGCTGACGATTCTTTTCCCCATCTCGATTGAAAGTTCCACCTTAAAAGGCAAGATCGCCCATTTACTGATTCTTTTTTAACAGATATATTATCTTCTTTCAGCCAAATCACGGGTTACTTTTACGCTGAGTTAAGTCGTATTTAGTAAATGTAGGTATAACAGGGAAATCTTTTGCAACCCGCAAACCAAAATCAGCTGTTTTGTTCTGTGTTGAGAATTAGTCAACTTTCGTTTACTAATTAAATCACCCAGAAAAGTACTGGAAATAGTACGAATATGTCAAGTTGGCCATCAAGTATTTTTGAGCAAATTTTGCTGAGAACATGAGCAGATTTTAAAGCGCTTGTGTTGATAAATTGTGGTTACTAAGTAAAGATAAGAGATCTGAAGAATGTTTGCTTTCAATACTTTATCATACTTCTACCATAAATTCTGCCAATTTTCACATGAACTTTGTGAATATTTTTTTTACTTTTTCCTGTCAAGGGGACTGTGGCTTATTGTTTTGGATATATTTCTTATGTCAGCCGACCTTGTTCTTTAGAGGCAGTTTATTTGATATTGATCTTGTGAAAGCCCAGCTTGCAGAGAAGGGCAGTTCTAGAGGATAAATGCAGTGTATGACTCATGGTTTGCAAAAAGAGTTCCTCAAAATAGTGCTTTAGTAAAATGTGGCATACAAGTTCACATTTCAATATTCATTGACATCGTATGTGCATCTGCCATACTCTCCAGACTGAGAGAGAGATCCCTGTGGTAGTTTTTTGGATTATATTTTGTAAGAGGTCTCCCCGTTCTTTGATGGATGCTTTTTCATTACACTTCTTTTGAGAACTTTATTGGATATATTTTTTGCAAAAGTTCCCCTTGTTCTTTTTATAGAAGCAAAGCCCTGCATAAAAGGTAGCCTTGCACTGACACTATCATTCTTTGGAGCTGCTATCTCCAAAAATTCATTGTCATTTTTTTCAGGGAGGTTCAGCACTGGAGATACTGACTATCCAGGCAAAGGACATAACTACAAAATGCAAACTGCTAGGATCTTCATTGAATGGAGGCCAAAGAGACTTCGACAAAACTATCAAAAGTTATATTTTGACATTAGAAGGGGAATCAACACAGACCAAACTAGTCATTCCAAAAGATGACAAACAGAGTTTATGTATTTTGCAGTCATATCTGATTATCCAGTTATGGGTAGCATCAGGTGCAAGCTTCTCACTAGAAGCAATGGTATCAGACTCATCAAATCAAAAAAGAAGAATATTAATGTCAACAAATTACAAAGATGTTTCCGTCACTTCATTTCATGTAAAAATCCCTCTCACACTACTTAAACGTGGATTGTGGCTCAATCTTTGTCTTGATCTCAAGTCAATTGTTGCAGATAGTTTCAAAGGAATTACATTTAAAAGTCTAGAGAGTATAACAGTATGCGCAAACTGTAAGCTGAGGAGAATTTTTACCATGAAAACACAACCAAAGGATGATTTTGACGCACATCCTAATGAACAGTATATTGAACTTGATCAGATCCCAAAGTCAATGCAGTTTCCTGCCACATCAGAATGCCAACATGCAACCCAGGTATGAAATTAGCTGTTGAAAAATTTATCATGTACCTTTTCAGTAAGCTCGAGAGCAGGATAATCTTAAGGTATTGAGCTCAAGGTCATGAAATAGTCAGCTAATCTTGAGATTGTGAGCATAATCTGGAGATAGTCAGCTTATCTTGAGATAGTGAATTCAAATAAACTGAACAGTTAAGGCTGCAGATGTATGCACCTTTTTTTGTTTCAAGATCCATCATCTTATACCAGTGTCTTAACTTGCATGTGCATCAACTACAAATAACATCTGGGGCAAATCAAGGCTAGTAAGTGTGCCTTCTGGGGGCAATTGAGGGCACATCTACCTAGTTCTCATCTGGATCACATTGAGGGCACATCTAAATTTAGTGAGAAGATGTATGAGGAGGAATATACTTTTTGTATGATTTTAAAACTGCTTTTACATAACCAAAATTGAGTCATGGGCATTTTCTTCATGTAAAATTGGTGTTCCTTTTTGTTAAAAGGGTGTTTTCAGATGGCAAATAGGGAATGAACTAAAAATGACTGTTTTGCCCCCCCAGAGCCTGTTGGCTGGCACTGCTGCTGTTAATTACTTTGGGTGGATAAGGTTTCAAGTAAATCATC